AAACCGTCTACGAGATGGAGCACGAAAGCAGTTGCAGTTATTAAAAGAATCCAGCAGAGAGCCTCTGACAAGTGTCAAATATGTGGGGCTGCTGTAACAACTAAAGGTGAGCCTAACTGAGAAGTAAATTTCTCTTCATTTAAACCGAACAGATACCAATGTGAAGGTGTAATACATGACTTAAATGCATCTGTGACATCTGCCTTGGCTAGCCATGTGCCTCTACATGCTTCTTTAATCAACTGATGGCATTGTAGATTATAGCATAAAATAAGGAAAAAGTGCCAGAGGATTTAAACTATTTATACCTTAGTTTCACTTGCAAGAGCAGATAAATTAATAATTATGTTTATTTATTTTCCCTGAATATCCTGGTAGCTATACCTTAATGCTTGTTGAGAAGGCGATTTATGAATGGACCAATATGAACCTTGTTAACCTTTCTTCAGTAAAGCATCGACTATGTCAGCTCTTCAAAGCAGATTGTAGGTTTGCAACCAAGTCAGCCCAGCAAGGAACCATGAACCAGCCCTATAACAGAATGCTTTCTTAGCGCCTTCCCCAGCTCAGGGACGTTTACTGGGGTTGAAGGTTTATCTCTCATGCCCCCTTTTTGAGAGGCAGCACGTTCTTCCCTATGGTGATTGGGACTCCACTTCCCAGCATTCTCGGCGGAAATGTGACGCCGTCAAAACAAGCTGCTGTGACGTCATCGTCAAGCGCTGCACCTGTGGGACCACGCGCTCTACCTGCAGACAGCGAGGAGGGAAACAGGCCAACTGCGGACGAAGACTGGCCGGCCTGACGTGCCGAACCGAACCCTGGACCCTTGAACCAATGACGGCAAGCGACAACCGGATGTTGGACAGAGCTGACAAGCAAGACAGGTGGAGCCGGCCGCTGCGCCTGGGACCCGCGCCCCCTGGAAGGCAGCGCAGCGCAGCGCAGCGCCGGAGCCGGGACCGGGACCGCAGCGGAGCCGCAGGAGCAATTCCTCCCCCCTTCTGCGGACCCTCCAGACCAGAGCAGCCGGACACAACTGCGGATGTTGTTCAAAGCGACACTCTCCCCAACAGCCGAGATCGCTGCTGAGACTTCACAATGCAATCGACCCGCCATCATACTCACCGCAGACAGGACAAGTAGAAACAACCGACAAACCACAAGTAACGCACACAACATCCTGGCAAAAGGCTTGTAGAGGGAGCAGCAGAGATAGGCAGGCAGGCTAAAGCAGCTTAAATAAGGCGCCATGCATGATGTTTGCCAATTGGATGCTTGAGGAAATCAGGTGAGCTGTCAGCTGACTGTGTATGGTATCCAATGGGAAGCTTAGAGGAATCAGCTGATGTATGTTTATGACTAGCTGTGCTCGTATGATATAGCTGTAACTGAAAGCTAAGCCTGACTTCGTGCCCTGCCTGAACTAACGCTATGCTCAATTTTTGAGGCCGTTTTGTACAAAGTTTTAATTCGTGGTTGTTTCGGGGCCGCTGTAGCTAAATACATTTTTTGTCTTGGTCTTCACTTATTCATGCTTAGACACTGGCCCATGAAATTCATGTTGAACTCAAATTTTCTTGTAAATACAAGTCCTACCATCACTTCACAGAGTTGATATAGAGATGGGCAAACCAATCTTTTTCTGATAGGCCTGCATTCATTATCAGTTGTCACTGCTGATTTATGAGTCTGGCGGCCTGGGGTACTGGCAGCCATATGTCTGCTCATCCCTACACACACAGGACCGTCTTATTAATGATGTTCAGATTCATCATCCAAAGACACAATAAACACACTGAATTAACTTTTAATGGTATCGACAGCACTGGAGCTTTTCCTCTTTTCAACTCCCGGCTCTGCTAAACAAGCATAACACAAAGACTTCGATTTGGGAAAGAAAAAGCTCCATAAAGCAGTTTTGGGTGGTGTTGTTGCCAAACACGGACAGAGAAATTACCCTGTTCCAATTGTCCATCAGCCAGCGTGGTATTAGGTTGAAAGAGAGAAAATCACATTAAGTTCAAAGATGTCCATTAGCTACTGGGTAATCTATGCAATTGTGTTGAGTGACTCATTATCTGGTTTGCGCTAATACCATGTAAATGATAAGATGTACATCATCAGCTTTCAGCGCCGTGAATACCCCAGTTGTATGTAATACATTTGCCTTGTAAATGTTTATCTTGGAGGTTTGGTCAGTTGAGAGCGCTTCCTTAAATAATTAGAGAGGACTAATTAGGTAGAGAATTTTTTTTAATAATGAATTGAATATCCACAGTGGTGAAAAGAGGTCAGGGGCAGTGTGTGTGTGTGTGTGTGTGTGTGTGTGTGTGTGTGTTGGACTGTGGTCCATCTGTGCTGGGTTGTTCCCTGCTCTGTAGTTAATCTTATCTGTTCTGGCAGGGAGTCCATGTCAAATAGTGTGAGGGTGACGAGGGTGACGAAGTGGGTTGGAGTCACGCTCTGTCCCTTGTCAACCCACTTCAGGTCTCCCCCTGTCCGCCAGTGGCCTGCTGGGTCTCTGTGATCATGGACAACTCAGGCATGGTACATCAGATGGGATCAGGGCAGCCATCTTGGTTTTTGTAAGTGAAATAGCAGCCCCCTCTGGGATTAATTATTGGACAAGGATATTCAGAGACGTGGTTTATGTTTTAAAGTGTACAGTGTCCTTGCACATAAGGTGTCAGAAGAAGTGTTCACAGAGATTAAGTAGATTGTATTCCAAAGATAAAATGGGAGTAGATCTTGTTGTCCTTGTACCTTTTTGGTATTTGCTGTTATATTATCAATTTGTTGCTACATCTTTAACTAACAAAGACCACGCCAATGGAATTCCACGTATGGAATTAGAAAGGTTTATTGCACATAATGGATAAATGTGAACCAATATGATGAACTGTTTGAGGGATGAATGGATCAGGAAAGGGTTGAGGGACATATGCATGAGGGTAGAGGGATTAGGGGTAAGGGTCGAGGGTTGAGGGAAGAACGGATGGAGGAGACTGAGTGGGGGAGCCGTCTCTTCTTATCTCTTCTTTAGAGCCCCGGTGGTTCCTGTATTTGAATAAGAAAGGGATGGGGAGGGATGTGAAAACTGAGTTTGAGGAGAGAGTGAACGGATAAGGTCTGCTTAAGTACGTTTTGAGCGGAAATGAGATGAGTGCGAGGCGTGGTCTTTGCTCCCGAACCTAGTTATAAAACTTAATTTATGCAGGAGCGGTTCCATTGTGAGCCAGAGGACTGCATTTATAAACAAACAAAAGTTAATGTTAAAAAATTCAGAGTAAACCACTGATACGTATCACAACCTTTTCCCTGCAGAGACATGCTAAAATGATGGACACGTCTTTCATTGGCTCATTTAGCGCTCATTGATCTCATGATTACCATGTTAACTGAGCTGTCAGCTTTGGCATCTGGCATCACTGATTCAGGCAGGGGGAAAGAAACTAGGGAGGCAGGCCCACTTATCATGCATGGCCACACAATCTCTGTCGTCTTTCTCTGAAGGCTAGCTGGCTTAATTACGTGCTAAAAACGCCTTCAAACGAGCTCCCTTCACAAGGTAATGTATACCTGTCCAGTCCTGTTTAGTTCAAGCAGGATGACAAATATGAACACTAACAGTTTGTACAGACACCCACAAACAGCACACATATATTTCAGATAGAGAGATCTCATTTATTTCTTTACGTGTCACCGCTGTTGTTTACTGCAAAACAATATGATGGATTAGTGGATCAGGAGAGGATTTACAAAAATGAACTGAAAGAAAAAAGCATTAGACATGATTTGGAGAGCGTAGACAACTGAGTGATTGTTTTGTCAAACTGTCAAACATGCCTATCCACCTTCAGAACCAGACAGAGTGACTGCCGTGAATGTGACCACCAACAACGGTTTAATGATACTATTTTGGGCAATCTGAGGCTCAGATTTATTATGCTGTAAATCTGCAGCGCAGCAAAGAAAAAAGCTCTGCATCTTCCTTCCTCGCACACAAAAAGCTTGCATCGTAAATCATTTAGGCAAAAATATTTTCAGGGGTCCCAATTTTGATTAATATTCTAATCAAAAGCCTTTTAGTTTGATTAGAACACAGAAAAACAACGCAGGTATGGTATTGGTTTAACAAATCAAAACTTGAACACACTCAATTTGAGGAGCTGCCACATGGCTTATTTTTGGAGTTCATTGGAGTGTGCTTTAGTGTACTTGAAAAGTAGTTTTAAAAATTGTTCTTGTCCACAACAATAACACAACTTTAACAACAGTATGAGGCCATTAAAAAGTTTGCTGTCATGGACATTAAGTAGAAGTTTGTGGTTAATGAGCCATAACATACAGAACTGCTGTTATGGTCCTTTAATACTGTCCCATTTGTCCTTGTTAAATTAACATTTTAAACAGAATTCAGTAGACTCAGGTAATTTCTTTATAGCTTTTTGTGGAGAGGTAATAATTGAACAAATATAGATTTAATCAAATAGAGTAAAGTCGGTTTATTAGTGACTATAGTTTCCAGCTAACAATCAGTATAACAGCTTAACTAATCAAAAATAATTAATACGGCAGCTCTTCAAATGTTCTTCATCCTCTATGTGACACAAGATCTTGGCTTAATTTCTTACTTGATAAATGAGCTGTAGTAGGAGAGTGAGATACAGCGAGGGACTGTGTGCACAGACCCAGAGCAGAGCCCCAGGTAACAGATGGAATTTATTGATTTGGGATATATCTCTATTAGCCAAGTCCAAAGTCACTGAACCTAGCATCTACCTGTGAAGTGTTGTCAGTCTGTGCAGAGCATGATAAATGACATCCTATCCATACAGACCTGCAGAATTTAATACACTGTAGTAACATGTCACAACAGAGTATACATAAAGACATCAGTATTTGATCAGGGATTGTGCACAACACACAATCCTTACACTCCCCCCCCATGACACACAAACACTTGTTATACGCTATGGCACAACAGCTTTGTATCCCCCACCCTTGTTCATATCAGAATCTTTCTTGCTGACACCGATCAATGTCAGTGGCAACGTGGAAGATGGAGAGAACAACAGCGGTATTGACAGCAAGAATGGGTTTTACAGGAGGCCAGTCTGTACATGGGCACAGTGACTGACTGTGGTGGGGGCTTGTCAAAGGAAATGACTTACTTCATCCATTTCTTGTTTTCCCTCACCCACCACTCTTCCTTTCTCTGTGATGAACAGTAATGTGCTTAAATTGAGTGCAGTGCTTGAGTATCATAAATGGAGGCAATCATTACAACCACCAACAATCATCTATATTGCATGGAGTTGTGTGGTGAAATTAAAAGATCTTTTTGCAGTCCAGCAACAGTAAACAACAGTCTGGTGCCATTACTTTAAATAACTTCAGACATGCATGTAATGAGAGCGTAAGCAATCAAGATTAGTCTTGTCACAACTCGTGCACAGGATTCACAGACTTTTGGCTACATTTATCAGCCCAAAAAATCCAGCTAAGCAAACCCTTTCATCCACAGAGAATATGTTTTAGATCAAATACAGGTATTATGAGAAATCTGGAAGAGGCAGACAACCTCAGGTGATTGAAAACTGAACCATTAAGGAAATAAACTGTCAAGTTGATTGTTATTAGATTATTTGGGTCCACTGTTCACAGTCTGACAGGATATTCATATACAATAGAATCAATAGGTAAGTCCTTTTTAATATTAATTCAAATAAAAACAAACATGCCAGTCATTTCCCTTTCTTTCATGTTGCTGTTTGCTTTGTAGCATGACACCTGGTATATGCCTACACTCACTAGATTACTAATGAGCAAAAGTTTAGATGAATATGAATAGGTAATGTGTGACAAATTCCACCTATTGCAGTTATTTAAAGAAGTTTGTGGTATAATATATCTGTAAAAAAGGGAAATTCCTCCCCAGGTAAAGGCAAAAGCCCACCAAGGGTTTATTAATTGAGTGCATAGTATTTGTGTTATAGCAGTAAACAATATTCTGATTGTATTCACACAGTCTGCATGAGAAATATCAAGTCCGCATATATCAGCCCAGTTATTGTTATGGTGCCCCAGGGACAAAGGCTGAATATTATTGAATATCAGTAGGGCACTGCCTGAGAATGACTCAGGCTGCAAATAATGCATTAAAGTTCACTTGGCCAATAGACCAGCTTAGTAGATGTTGGCTGCTTAAATTATCCCCCAAACTAGTGGATACTATATTTTGACGGCTCCCTCTCATCTTGTCTGTACTTTGACTTACTGATTTCAAATCCTTACATATCAATATTAGTGAAACTACCCAGCTAACAGAATGCTTGCAAATATATGACTGAAAACTGCAAGAAACCTGATTGAGGTCTCTTAATGCTTAAGAGGACTTTTCTCGTAACTTATAACATTTCCACCAGACTGTTTGAAGTTTGCTATCACCTCAGCTTGGATCACATTTATAAAATTAAGTTGCTTGACACTGTCTGGCGTCTGCAAAAGCATTCTGCTGAACTACTACAGTGTGGTGAGGTATGTAGATTATTTTCCAACAAGCAAAACCTGTTGGAAAATGCTGCAGTTAAGTGTCTACACAGAATAGAGTGCTGCAGGGATTATGTATATTTGGAATCATTTTAATAAGCAAACATTCAGTCAAGTTAAGCTTTCCACAACTGAAAACTTCAGTTGTCCGAACTTCTGGATGAAGTCTGCCTGAGCCTGGACTAAAGCCTCCTCATCTATGTACACTGCCGGCCTCCTGGCTGTAACAAAGTACTGCACCTTCCTCAGGCTCCAGCCGAGGACATACATGAGCAGGCCACACACAGCTGCTGTCCACCTCCCTACTCTAGCGTTACAGTGAACATTGACTGCTCTCCAAGAGACCATGAAGCAAGAATACAGCCCAAAAAGCATCCTGATCTGACCTGCAGAAAAAGACAATAACACACAGTACACTTAAAGGAGAAGGCTGCAGATATTCTATATTGTTATACCAAAACCAACAATGTTTTAGTTGTTTTTGTTAGTTGTTTAAGCCTAGTGTATTAAAATCTTAGAATAATGTTAATGCTATAAACAAACTACACCATGGTGGGATCACTTCAAGGTAACAACCATGAAACGTCCAACTTGTACTTAAAGGGTCAGTGTGTAGGATTTAGTGGCATCTTCCAAGCGTGTAGGAGAAACTACAGTGGCAAAAAATGCAAAAGGTTCTATCTAGAGCCAGTGTTTGATTTGTCTTTTCTAGGCTACTGTAGAAACATGGTGGTTCCACATAATGGACTATGTAGATAAAAACAGCCAACAACATTTCCATGTGATTATACAAAAAAATACCTATGAATATTATATTCTATTTCTGGCAAAAGATCTCCCTAAATGTTACACACTGGACCTTTTAAATCTTTAATCACTTTCAGCCAGTTGTTAGCAACCACCTTTTTTAAGACGCGTAAAACCTTCAGAATTCATGGGTGGGGTACTTACTGGCATATTGGAGGCAGGGAGCATCTTGAAATCTCTGATTTATTTATTTTATTTTTTAATATCTTATATTTTTCATTCCCTTTAATCGATAGTGACAGCTGTAGAGAGACAGGAAAGGGGGAGAAAGATAGAGAGGACGACCTGGATATACTCTTTGAAAACTCTCCTGCAACGTCTTATGTTGGACAGCGGGTGATGATCTTCTTGATTTTGTTCAACAATTTGTCAAGTATCTGAAGAGGTTACTCCTGTTACTGCTGTGTGACACTTTCAGGTGAAAAGTAGCACCACACCACTCTATATTTCCTTTCTGTCATTCTCCTTTCTCCCTTTTGTTTGTGGCTACGCACTCGGTTCTCACGTCTCATAGGTTTCCACAGCCACGTGACACATACTGTCAGGGCTGTTTTGGCACAATCATTAAAATAATGAATGATTTATATGCCGGTAATTGTACCATCAATGATTTATAAAAGGAATCGATACCAAATGAGTAGCTTGTGACTATTGAAGCATCGACCCCCTAGGATCGATCCGCCCATCCCTAACCCATGGGCCCTGCAGCGAGGACTCAGCCGTGGTACATGGGGCGCCAGCTCTACCAGGTGAGCTACCTGGGCGCCCCGCTCTCTCAGATTTATTTAACAATGTAACACTGCGCCTCCCAGATTTATTGACATTTTTTACTGTATTTCCAACTGTCTGGCATTACTCATATCTGGTCTTATTGCACAGAATGCCTCACTGTCAGATGTTTTTTAACTGCATAGATAAACCTCCCTCATGTCCTCTGGCTGCTGGTGCAAGCTACTGAAACACACATGGTGGAATAAGCCTGTAAATCTGGAGCTATTTGGTCAAACTGCATCTCTTCACTTTTCCTTTCACAGTCAGAACCTGCCAGGGTGGCTGGAGTTCTGCCCGGGAGCAAAGTCACAAGCAATGTCTTCATTGCTGGATTTTTCTTAAGCACACAGTGAGCCTAGACCATGCAAATGGTATGGCTGGAATCTATTAAGTAAATTGACCAGGGGTGCCTAGACTTGCGTGATGAATATAAATCATTTGTGGCTCTTTGAATGTGTGACTTGTGGGATTGTATGTGCAGGTGAGAAGGCTTTACTCCTCTCTATGATGAATGAATGCCCAGTGCAGACTGGTCAAGCTAATAGAACTGCATGGAAGATGAATAGTAAACGATTCAAAGGGCAGAGTTCATGTTTAAAATATCATGCATCTTAGAGGACCAAAAGCTTATTGGACAAAAACACAATTCACTCTCTGGAATAGACTGTCTGGCTGTGTTTAGATGATAATATATCTAATACAGAAAGTAAACAAATAATGTCTTGTTGTGAGTGTGCCTTGCTGACTTTAAATAGCTGTGCTCATCCATCTTACAGATATGCAAAATAAAGCAGAGGGACGTTAATGAGCCTTTGCGAGATGTGGACTGAGAGTCTAGCTTGTTACTGAAAGCAGCTTTGTTACTGAACTATCGGATGAAATGAAGCAACGGGTGAGATATAGCCATAAAATATGAAATATTAAAAACCAATTTTTAGATGCAATTTGTAGACGCATTCTCGCTTGAATGATTATGTATCGATGCAGAAAACTCAATAAAAGGAAATTTGGACTTCCCCCCCACACTTTTGCTTTTAAGAGTAACAAGGAGTCACACAGTGAGAAATTAATCATGTATCAAAAACCTTTATGCATCAAGATGCATCAATAATTCCAGCACCATAGGTGGGATTATAAAACAATTATGAGGTATCTAGAGATTCCCATCCCTACTTTTAATGTAGAGTGATATACACAGTTTGACTTGTGTTTTCCTACTTGCACTATAAATGTCTGTTCAGGAGCAGCTTTCTAATGTTGATGGTTTTGATTATTTTATAGTTCATAAGCAAATGTCCTGTGAAGAATGTATTGCAATATATGGTGCACCAGTCAGCTTGCTCTATTCTCTTTAATAGGTATGTGTTCACCTTGCGGGGCAGCCTGACTCGCAAGATCGTGAAATCAGATCAAGCGTGAATCCATCTTGTCAGGCTTCGAGCTGTGCGCTCTTGTCAAAACCAACTGGACCAAACAGCGTCCTATGGGGAACTACTTTATAATTAAAAATGGATGTGGTCTCTGAGCTGCTGTAAAGCTCAAAGTGTGGTCAGCCCTGGCCGTCGCCATCTTGGCACTCCTGACTCCATTGCCTTCTGGCTAATCCAAAAATGAGCAAATACGTGGACACACGTGATGGCGCCCACTAGTTACTCAGAGCGGCCATGCCCTTAATTATAGATAACATTAGGCCTGAATTGAAAGGGGTAAGTCATATAACAATTCAGCCCCCTTACAGTTGTCATCAACAGGGAATTTAGCTATAGATACCAAAATTAAAGAGGTTAGCATAGATGCTGCTAGCATCAGTTATATCAAAACTGGAGAGTATTTCTTCATTGAAAGGAGCAAAGAATGGCACTGAAGGCTTTACTTAATAGAAAATATGTTTTTGTTCTTCTTCCGACTGGCTTCAGTAAGAGGTTGACTACATTATATGGTTTGTTGATCTGATTGATTGAAGTTTGCCCATGATAGATGGTGATTGACAAATGGTACATCCCATCACCAGTATTTTTTACGTGTCTGCCCTTTTCAATGATGACTTCCCAGATGTTTCAGTCAGGTTAGAATGGTTTTACTGTCTCAGTGTAACTATACTACATGAATATGCGGATATCATGGTGGATATTTGACCAGAATAAAATGTTTCTGCACTGCACACATTCATCTTTATCGTCACAATGATACGCAAGCAACACCAGCATTATCTTTTAGCAGGCTATGACTTGAATATATATATATGTGTAGTTATCACATATCAAATATAACACAGACAATGGAGAGTACATATTTTTATGTTATGGACTGTCTCTTTTCCCTTGTGACTTTATTTTCCAGCAGTGGCATGAGTCTGCTCAGGTGGATCTTTTATAACATTCTGCACCTGCGTGTCACAGCTGCAGTCACAAATGCTGATCCTGAGGCATCCAGGGATGCATGGGGCTGTCTGGGGTACTTGCCCTCTTTGATACAGCGACAGAAATGATCCCCACTGCTAACAATGAAGGGATACAATCTTCACAGCAAGCGAGATTTGCCATTTCAGACATTCTGTAGATGTTATTGAGCAAGTTTGGCAGTAAATCCCGGGAACAGCTCTGGTATTTTGCTTTCATCTTGGTTGGCATCTCTGTACGGATATCAGGCTCTGGCAAAGTCATGAACTTGTACTGATTTGAATTCACTACCTGTAACTGACACTGGTGCACAGAATTTGAAACAACATAGCATGTGTGGAAAATCAGTATTGTCTGTTAAAATCAATGAAATACCATGTGTTCCTGTTAGTTTTAATATAAGTCCCTCTGCCCACCTGCCTGCTGTGCTCTGGCTGTGGGAGTATCCTTCACAGCCCAGCAAGGATTTAAGATTCTTCTCTAACCTGACCCATCCTTATGATTATTATTCACACTATAACTGAAGCAGTTTTAATGGCCGAAGTCATGAAATCACTAAGTTATTATATCTTTAATCTTAGTCTATTTTGCAAGTTCCTAATGTTTTATACCCTAAAAATAAAAATAAAAGGTGACGTAAATCTTTAACATCGCTGTAGTAATTTCATTGTAATCTGCACATAATTCACCATCTTATGTTGTTTATTTGGGTGCTTACTGGACATGCATACTGAGGACTATACAAAGCATTTCTTTGTTAAATGATAATCCTCACCTTTGGGCATTAATGAATATTCAGATACTGTGAGAATGATTGATTTTTTCTGTCCACCTATCATACAAAGGCATTATTATCATCAAGCCTTTCTGCTTAGATGGTGTGATTTACACCATAAAAGGTTGGTCATCTTAAAGGTCCATTATGTGACATTGTGTATCAAGGCTCTATTGGCAGAAATTGAATAAAATATGCATAACTATGTTTTCATTTGTATATAATTACCTGGATATATAGGAATTGTTGTTACCTGAGAATGAGCAGTTTTTATCTACAGACACCATAGTTCGCTGTCCATGGAGTCCACCATTTTGAACCACCGTATCTCTACTGCAGCCCAGAAGGGACAAACAAACACTGGCTCTAGGTTTCATGCATTTTGCAGCCACCATAGTTTCTCCTTTGCACATAGAAGGGGAGGGTGAAGCGAAGGAGCTGTGATCTGAAACTACACAGCTAGAAAACCCTACACTCTGTTTATTTCATTTCATTATTGTTTTCAGTTTTTTTTATTTTACAGGAGAAAAAAAGGTCTGTCCCAGTTGATGGATCCATTTAAGGATAAAAGAGACGGTGTGCTGTAGAAGCAAATTTAAGAAATGGGTCTGTGACGCTTTAAATCAGCAGAATGAACATGTCTGTAAAAGAAGGAGCAGAGGGAATAAATACAAGCCGATGGCTTGCAGGGAGATTGCAAACCAAAACAACAGGTACAACACAGGTAGACTGTGTGTCCTCTCTGCACATTAAATGGGAATACATATTATTTATGGATTCCTTGTGGAATAAATGTTCTACACCATAAAAAGTCATCTCTTTAACAGTTGCAAGAGCTCTGTAATTCTTACTCTAATTTGAATGTGACAATCTGGGGGAACTGGTGTAGGTGATTGGCAGATCCTGGAAACCATGCGGACTACAAACACTATAACATCAATCAGTGACAATAACTCAGTGGAATAAATGCAACATGTTTACCAATTATATTGCCATCCATTTAGTGACAAACCCAAGAGCCCATGCACATACAGCACTGTATACACAGACATAATTCTCCTCAAACCAGTACACACTCTGCTTCTTCAAAAAAAAAAAAGAAGAAAAGCTTTTCACTCATTTCATGTTCAGTTTTTGTGCGTATTTTTAGAACGTTTGGAAATCCACGATGATTCTGCTAGCACACGGTTTCAATCCACCCACCCATCCCCGCTGACACCCTCATAAGGTGCTGTTTTCTGCAGGGACTCAGTGAAAAGTAATGAGAAGGTATATGACTGGTGCTTGAGGAGAAACCCAGTAACTTTTTGAAATCAGGGACAGGTGATAAAAACCCTGTATCTTAATATAGCAATATATTCTCAATAGAAGTCTAGGCAGAAACTCAAAATTGACAACAAACAGTATTCCAATAATGTCTTATTATGTATGCATTAAAATGGGCTGGCAGGGATGTTGTTTTTGTTATGGATTGGAATAGCATCTGTCAGATAAATAAATAAAGATGAAATGCTATCGAGCTGAGAAAGACTGGGCGGAGCTGTAGTCTTCAATGTCTGGGAGCTGAATCCCTCTCTGTCATTATTTTGGTTTTAGGAATTGATATGTTGCTTTGGAAAGGAGTGCAGCATTAAAACCTCTCTCCAAAAAAATAATCGGAAACCTTCTGAAATCAAAAAAGGGATTCTCTAAATTGATACACAATCATACAAGAGCAACTGTGGAATAACCCTTTGCTTCCTTCTCATCTTGAAGTGAGAAATCTCACCCTTTATAAAAAATCTGATTTCACTTTTTAGTATGTTAGTTTTTCTGCGTGTTCCTGTTAATAATTGCTGTGCAATACATCAACTAAAACTTCCCTTCTTGAAATGTCAACAGCATTCATTGATCATTACAAAAAAGGCTTTATAAAAAGGGTCTTTCCAAACAGCCCTGCAGACATTTACTGAAAACTACTCGTAGCATCCTCAGCTGACTCCCAGTGCACAATTTGCATCTGTATGTGCTAAACGGAAGAGTAATTCCTGAAGTTAAAAGCTAACACATCGCAGTAGGATTAACTGCTTGCAACATCTATGCTGGCAGCCAGCAGAACCTGCTCCAGATACTTGGGGATCAACCAGATTTCAAAAGCCACTCAGCTGAAGTGGGTCATTACGTGCATTAGATTTAAGTGGAAAGAAGTTAATTTCCTCGCTATAGGTTATTTCACCTTCTGGCACCCTTCATGCCGACTGTATAATATGTTTTTTTCCACACGACAGGAATAGTTTTAGTTCAGTGAAGCTTTGCACAACTGTAAATTCTGATTCAGATTTGAAGAGTTCGGTTTAAGGACACCCGACTCTTACGTCTCTGGGTAAGAGATGGATGAATGCAGTTGTCCGAACTTCTGGATGAAGTCTGCCTGAGCCTGGACTAAAGCCTCCTCATCTATGTACACTGCCGGCCTCCTGGCTGTAACAAAGTACTGCACCTTCCTCAGGCTCCAGCCGAGGACATACATGAGCAGGCCACACACAGCTGCCGTCGACCTGCCTACTCCAGCGTTACAGTGGACATAGACAGTGTGACCGTTCTCCAGGAGACCATGAAGCAAGAATACAGCCTGGGGAAGCATCCTGATCCGACCTGCAGAAGAAAGACAATAACACATAGTACACTTAAAGGAGAAGTTGGCACTATTCTGTATTTTTCTCTCAATAAATCCCACGAAAAGACCAAAGTCAACAATGTGTTAAACACACATTCCAGCCTATTTATGGAACTCGGAGGGTGTATGTGGGATTGACTCAGGATGAAGAAATGTGCCATCTCATGTGGTAGTGTGACTCACTGATGTGTTTTTCATAATTTTTGGTCAACATTGGAGTTGTATGGGACTGGAGAATAATATGGTTTTGGTATTTTCATGGGATTGGTTCACAAGAAGAAATAAAGACTATGACCAGACTTATCCTTTTACATACTGGGACTTGCTTAGAGTGTTAAATTACCCAACACTATTTTGGGATTGCACTTCTTTTCTTTATTTCACAGTGGAAGTATAAACAGCACTTTGTTTGAGACTGACACAACACATAAGATATTGTACTGTATGATTAATTCTTCACATTCCGGTTAAAAGAAACTTGATTTATGATGATTTATGGTAATGACTGGCTTCAATCACAGATCCTTCTGATTTGCTTATTTCTTACATTCATGTAATTCTAGGAACTGTTACTAAAAGCATTCATCCTGGCTGATTTTCTGATCTTTGAAATATTTAAATGGAGCCTTCAATTAGCTTTATGGTGAAAAGGTAAAAAATCACAGTGCGGTGAATGTAGGCAGAGTGAGTGAGTTTAGAGCCTTTCAGCCAGATTACCCAGACTCATGACTGTACTGTACTTTATATGTACTGCCAAAGTGTCTTGAGTATGATGTTGAGTCCCTAATAGCTCAAAGCAGTGTCCGTCCTCTCACTCTGACTTAACTAAATACTATTATTAGGAACTTATTTATTCTTTTATGTCCAAAAATCCTCCTTACCCTCAGTGCTCATGTCAGGTGTGGGTATCCACACATACACCAGGCCACAGTCCTTGTACAAATGCATCATGGTCTCCGGGGTCATGGATTCCCCAGCGTTGCGCCTGCAGCCATAGGAGTTGTTCACCACATCCCACTCCGTCTGGAAGTTCATTACTGCAGTAATTCCCAGTTCATACTTCATCTTTACAGTCACATGTTCCACTTGCCGAGGGCAGCTGCCCAGCCAAACACGAGGCAGCACCCTGGGGGCAGTAAACCAGAATGCATTAATTATTTATTTGTGTGTTTAAGTTCTTATTATATGTAGCACATGCCAAATTTGTGAGGTTCAGGCAATGACTGACTAACTAAGAAATGTGCAAGCTATTGTACAGGTGAATATTGTCAGGGTTTCATGAGTGGAGTTTACATTGAGATAGAAAGGATGCAAAGTGCAGATACAGAATAAAGAAATGTGATGATGTATTGTAGGATAATATAAAGTGCATGAAGAGAGACCAAAAGACATTGGTAGGGGGAGAGAGAGAGAGAGAGAGAGAGAGAGAGAGAGAGAGAGAGAGAGAGAGAGAGAGACTGCTGGACAGGGGTAATAATAGGTAGGAGCACAGCATTTAGTTACTCCTGAAGAAAATTACAAATCTATAATGAAAGTTGTTTTTTGAAAACTGTCTTACAGAGAGATTTGGGAAAAGTTGAGCTTAGTAGGTAAGCAAAAGATTTCAACCCTCTCCCTTCCTCCCTCGCTCCCTCATACCAATGATGTTTTATTGACCTATAGATGCTCTGATTTTCTTCCTGACCACTATAATGGCCTGAGGCAGACTCCATTTAGTGCTCATTAGCATGCATGAAGTCAACAACCAGAAGAGGGGACACACGTAAAAGAAAGGACATTGTTGATCTGTGATGTCCCAGTGAAAGTCTCGACTGTTATCAGATGACCTCTGTTTTCTCCCTGCAAAACGACTTTGTTGTCAGTGACTTTTTTTGCCACTGAAGAATACACACCTGTTTTTTCTTACTCTCAGAGAATCAATATGTAACAAGTTGACTATAAAAATGAAAAAATTAACTTGTGCAAGCTGTGTAAAAACAATTTTCTCATTTTCCTGTATGACAAGCAGTTTCGATGGTTTTATTATTTTCCATTTTCATTTTCTTTTGGTAAACTGTCACATACTGTAATAATGAAGGATTATATGTTTGAAGATTATGTCTTTTTTTGTTTCTAGTGTTTAGTTTTTCAAAGTTGATTTTATAAATTAATTCCTAACTGAAAAACAAACATTTCATCATGTTGAAATACCACACTTGTTCAGTTCAACAGTAATAAAAACACATTACAAAAAAGGGCTTTATAGCCCTCAGGCCTCCTCCTCGAAATATGAGCATGAGAGACGAGGCACCTGGCAGACAGTGAGTTAAAGTCCCTTTGAATCATATAATGAGTTACTGCAGAGGTGAGTGTGTATGATACTTGGGGCTACACGGATGCAAGGTCTGAGGGACTAATTTAAAAAGCTATTAATAGGCGAGATACAAGGGCAAAGTGCTTCCTACTGAACACAGGTCCTTGACATAAGCCTTGTAAGGTCTTTGGGCACAAATTAAAACCTGATGGCACCAGCCAAGCCCGCTCATTCTTATGCAAGTTATGTGCTCACTGCCTTAGGGTTCCTGGGCAAATTTTGGCTGTGCTTGGTATAGCACTGAGTATGTGCCTTACAGAAGGAGGGCACACTTTGGTAGGTTGGTTGGAGTGTATGCTGGATGTTGTGTGTGCAACTGCTCATCAATGTAAACATGCATCCTCAAATGTTTTTGGTGCAGTTAACCCCAGATATTAAGAATATGACATCTAGTCATCTAAAGCTGTCTATTAATCCTAAAGATTACGTCACAGGCGAGTGTTGTGAGTCAGGGTAGTGTAACAATGCATAAAACAGTCAAACATGGTGGTGGACTGTTGTTTATTTCACGCAGTGGATGACTGACTGTCATCCTCTGGGCACCTTGGATATCTGTACTAATAGTAAACTAGTAAATGTAATAGTTAAATTGGAAAAAAGTCAAGAGATCACCAAAGTCAGTTGGATTTGTCCTCTGGGACTTTGTACAGAATTTGAAGGCTATCCATGTAATAGTTGTTGAAATATTTCAGTCTAGACCAAAGTGGTGGACTGACCCTAGATCCCATCCCTAGAGCCACAACGCTGGCTAAAACGTGTAGCAAAGGATTCAGTTTTAGCAGGACAAGAATCCTAAACATGTACCCAAGGAAGAGAAAAGAGTCGTGGCTTTCCCAAGTGTACATTTCTCTGAACATTTAAAAAGAGAAAAGGGCAAAGCACACACACTTTTGGGTTCTCTAAGAGGGGGCTGAAATGGTGCTGGATTTAAAAAAAAACCTACAGAAAACGTGTATCAGTGACAGGCAGATTGCAACACGTATAAAGTGCAACAGAGTACATGCAAACTAGTGACTTTCAGCAACTTCTTTGACAAATTCATTTGCATTTATTTATGATAAATAATGAAACAACCTGTATCTTTTAAGGATCCGTCTGTAAATTCTGTGATAAAAATGTAGCTCTCTTTTGACTAGAGCATAGAGTGACTGGTTTTAATGCATCTGTTTAATCTGGGAGCTGTAAATGACTAAATTTAGCCTGTCATTGAAATGTGATGAGCAAACACAAATAAATCACTGTGTCTTCCTAATAGACTTGCGAATATATTATAAAACTAAAACAAACGCCAAGGAGCACAATGCAGGGTGCCTCCATTGACACAGTAACTACCCATCACTCACCATATAAGTTGCCTTCAAAATAAAAGTGAATTCTGACTGATGCCCTCTCCTTTCCACTGTGATCACCAACAAGGTTGAGGAGGTGATAATACAACTGCTAGTGGTGTACTTTTTGAAAGGGGAGTCATTTTCAAGACAGACAGCATTAATAACTAAACGGGAGAGAGCAAGGTTGAAAAAGAAAAGAGTGAGCAGACATGAAAGGGTGACTGAGGCTTTGTCTGCCCTGTAAGAGAGGAGAGTTTCATCAAGACAAGACAATGTGACACGGCTGCCCTGCCTCTCTTTGCAGGGCAATGAATACTGATGAAGACTTTTTTTTTTTTTTAAATCAGGATGAAGCAGAATTGAAACTTGCATTGAGAATATAAGATTAACACACAAGCCTTTCTAAAGAAGATTGGCTGTATTTGAAAAGGAAGAGAAGAACAGAGGCGCTGATGAGATCCTCAGTGTTATTCAAGAAACTTCAGCAGAAAACCCTCAAAAGGAAAGTTTCAGCATTGTGGAAATCTGCTTTATTTGCTTACTTGCAGAGAGCTGAGAAAATCTACACAATTCTCATGTCTGTACAGTAATCGTGACCCAGTAAGCTTAGCTTGAAGACAAAGAGCCTGACTCCGTCCAAGGGTGACAAAATCCACCTACAAGCACCTCTAAATCTCACCAATTAACAAGTTGTATCTTGTTTGTTGCTCCAGTACAAAAGCCAGAGAGTGAAAATGACAAGTTGGGAGTACTCCTTGGCCGGGAACAGTCACCTAATGGCACTTCATTGTTCATAAATGCACTTGATTTCAAGTGTTTGAACTATAACTATTCACCTTCCTACTGTGAGAAGCACACCTCAGCAGAGTTCACATCCAGATTGCAAGACTTTCCATATAATGCCACCCACGCTGTCCACCTCTGAATTCAGCCTGCCTTTAAGCTGAAACTGACATGTTTTACTTGCTTCATGAAATTTACAACATCATGCAGACGGCTTTTTATTGCACTGTGTTACCTGGAGAAATGTATTGCCTTCTGACCGGCCACACTGAAGTAAAAGTTAGTGGTGTGTTTCATCTCATCTGTGTGTCCCGTTTCCTCTATCCAGTGACCAATCGGGTGGCAGTACACTCCGTCCACCATGTTCCTGACATCATACGAACAGCATCTGTCATGGCTCGGGCTGCTGCCTGGTGACAAAGAGGACAACCTTTCTGCAGGTTAGTGATCAAATACCCGTTATAGGACGTGGTGGGACACAGAAGGATGTTACTTTCCTTAACAAATACAGACAGATGTTGCCTATATATTTTTTTTTTCTTTGAGAAAGGAAACCTCAAGCATCAAATACAGAAGTGACAGTGGAGAAACAAAATTACATTTACTTCTGATATACTTGTCAGTATTTCCACTTTCTGCTACTTAAACTACACAAAACTTCTGAGGGAAATATTTTCTTCCACTACATTGATGTGACAGGTGAAGTAACATTGCAGATTTTTTATTAAATACAAATAATATAATCTATATTAAATATGATGCATTACAAACCAGCCAACAGTATATAAAGTAGTTAAAATAAGCTCCACCTCGACCAGCTACAACATTACAGGTTAATGCAGCATTAATTATAATTATTTACTCTTTTTACTGCTGATATTTTACCTACATTTTGAACAAAGGTATAATTTTGAATGCAAGACTTGCTGCTCTTGCCAAAAAGTCTCAGTACCTCTTCTACCACTGATAAAACACATTCCTAATTAAGTATACAGGTGCACTGAAATCCATGAGCCAGTGAGCGTTTAGTAAAATGACAGGTGTCACTTTACCGCCATCACGTGGCGGTAAGGGTACATTACACTACATGAACCAAACATGGCGGAGGTATTTTTCTTTCTCCACCTGAAACCGTTAACTTCGATGGGAATTACATTAAATATGTGTGTCGTTTCCAATGCCCCCCCCTTATGTATTAAAGCTGATGCACAGTCAGATGTGTTGCACAGTGCTGATGGGTACCTTCCCAGATGTAAGTGCCTCTGACTCTTTTGACGAACTTGAACCACAGTGTGTCTTTGACCGGCTCTGCCAGCTGCACGTCGCCGATCCACAGACACGGTTCGTGCGGGGACAGGAGCTTCTGTGAGGGTCTCATCTGGACCGCTCTGCCCGGGTCCCAGTGGCCCATTTCCGCACGCGAACCCGAGACGAACACCTCCAGGTCCGAAGAGTCCGGAGTGAGAATGACACCGAATCTGAATAATACTGTCGCACCCATGATTCAGTGATAGATCCTCGTGTTAGTGTGGCGGGCTTTGGTTATCATACAGCTCTTTGTGTGAAGACCGTGTTGGCCTGTGGACTGTGTGAAGTCTATAAATAATCGGCTCGTGTTGTGGATCGTGCAGCAAAGAGAGGTAGAAACAATGATGTCCCACTCTGTCAGAGTTACTGGACACCATATATCAGCCAAATAGTGAAGCTGCAAGAAATTTGCGTAAAATTGCGTAAAACAAGTGATTTGGATGAATTTTCAGCAGATTATTTCCTGTTTAGGGAACTTTTTATACAATTCTCTGTCTGTATTGTGTATTTTTTTCAAAATTTTCAACAATCATACAGACTTAAAAGGCTTTTCTTACTTGACAATTTACTTTAACATTACTTTTCTTTACATAAGTTAACCAGATGCTGAGATGTAGGTCTATTGTGTATATTTTTAAGTTTTCTTACACCCCTTAAAATCAACCCCCAGTAAAGCTTTGGCAACCCCTAGTGGGGGTCCTGACCCCCAGGTTGGGAATCACTGTTCTACACCATGGACGGTGCAAGGGAGCCCCAAATGTTTCCTCAGAAGCCCTGAATGTTTTAGATTAAATGAACTAAAACCTTGTAGGTCTATCATTTCCCTTTAGTCTCTCTGATTGGATTGGAAAAGTTCTATTACTGGAGAAATATAATAATCTTGATACAATAAACAGTTGATTGACACTAAAAGTGTATGAAGTTTATTTCTCTGCACTCCAAACTTAGGCAGGAAAGGGAGGTGGATTAATTTATTGAACTTTAGCTTCCAGAAACAACTGACTTGCTTGTGATTAGAATTACTAATGAAGTAACCACATGAAACTATAATAAGTATGCAGCACAAGCTGAATGTCGTTTCACATGCCAATTTTATTTGAACTGCAAACAAAGGAAATTAATAGATAGTGTATTAAAAGTTCTTACTAGTGACCCTGAATAAGTATATAAGCAGTCATATATCACCATATTCACCCTATGTTCTGTACTCACATCATTAAAAAGTAAAAAGAAATTGAATACACAGCACACATATAAAGAACTTCAGTAACTGTAAAATCCTCTAACAGAAAATAAGCTCCCATATTCTTCGTCTTACTTGCAGATAAATGCTGAGGTACCTTGTCTCATGTGAGATAATTTCCTGTAAAGAGTACCAAACAGTTAATTTTATGTCATCACTCAAACATACATATCATCAAAGTCCAAAGTGGTGCTTCAGCATTTGCTTCCCAAAACTGCTCATTTAAGTTATTACTCAACATGTAATACATAATTCACACAACGATACAGGTGCCCTGCCGTACCCCCGCTTGATACGACAGTCTTCTTCCCCCAGCATGCAACACCTCACTAACTGTCTCTATCATCTCACTTAATGTATGGACCAAAGTTAAAGTTGGTAAAGTTGGTAAAACACACAGCCCAAGCAAGAAGGTTGTTAAGAAAGGGATTGATATTGTTAATAATGCAGAAAGAGTAAATGACTTTATGGGATTCAGTTAAATAGTTATACTGTTCTCCATCTGAGCAGGGTTCAGATACGTGTAGGGAACTTCAAGCTGGGAGTTTCTTTCTGTAATTGCTTCACTGAGGCAGGACAGCTCTGCTTGAAATTCCTTAATTATCTGCTTAGGGGCAGACTCATCAAATCGTTCTTCGGGGTATGTACCCAGGGGAACCTGACAAAATGAAACAGTAAATCAGACTGATGCAGGTTTTTTGTTCTGCCATTTTTGCACTTTCCAAATGTGGTTGGGTTTTTAATGAGCGTTCATTATCACCAAACTTACCACATCAGTGTACACGTCTGAAAGTATCCACGACATTGCTGCAAAACTGACCGTCTGTCCAACATTTGGGAGGGTCTCCAGAATTGTCTTCATGCTCGACTGCCCCTTAGTGGTTGGAGGAGGTTTGCGCAGCAGGAGCGAGCCATTGGGCGCCCAGGAGTGATAGTCGAACTACATCATGAAAGAAGTTTCAATTAGTAATTATTTTTTGTAAAAGTTTCCATTCACTCAAAGATGTATTTTGCTGATTGTTACTTCACGGTCCAATAAACACAAGTGCGATGTGGGAACTTCAAACCTCCTGCCCAAATAAACTGAGAATAGACTTGTTTGTGAAGCAGGAGACAACTTTTGAAATAGAAATATTTGCACATTCATAGATTTTGGATTTGATGTAGAAAGAATGTATGTAATTTCCAAAAAGTATTTTTTGTGGAAAAAACACAGCAAACATTTTAGTCTTTATTTTTTTTTGGTCAATTTTAGTATTTTTTCCACCAATTATTTTGGGGTCATGTGCCCATTTTTCATGGAAAACTATTATAAAGAAATGCATATATTAACCATCACATAAAACGATTATTCCAGATTTGCCATTTGTTCCATACAGGTGTTTGATCAATTATCAAGTTTATTTTGGCTCACCTGTCCATTATTGACTGCGGCATGTTGACCTGTCACCGTGAAAATCACCATGGTGATGAACTTGATCACTTCCTCAACAGTATTAAAGCATGCTGGAAACCCTGTTGGCAGCACAATCATTATCACTTAATCTTTGGCATTTACTATTTGCATGGGACAAAACGCTTACTACCATAATACTACACAAATGGTATAGGTTGTGTTTACAAATAACTTTCGAACATGAGTTTAATACCTGAGGCTTTGTGTCCTAAGAAGCCATGTGTGAATATCTCACTGATCCATTCCTGCAGCTCTGTGTCTTTACAGACTTCACTGTCTGAGGGATAGTAGTACTCCACTACTGCCTTCACAAAGCTGGTGAACACAAAACAGTTTTATCATTTTTAAGATTTAATGCAGCCATTTAATTACATCTGTGCTTGACACACTCAATACGGTCACTCTGCAACTGTCTAACCTGTTGATGATGTTCCACAGCTTCAGGCCATCATCTCTGTAGTAGAAGTTGGGGATCGACTCCAGCCCTCGTGCAGTGATGTTATCCGGCAGGCAGAGGGAGCTGTAGGTCAGTTCCGAGAAAGCCCTTCTCATGAGCTCTGTCATCCCATCGTATCCAAGTGAACTCTAATAATCATAATCACAAATAATAAGGATCAGACTAGTTCATGGGTCTTAAACAACAAAATAAATAAAAAAGTACTGAAGGTAGATGTAGTTTACACAATACTGTGAAAGTTTCACTATCTAACTATATAGAAATCTACATTTTAAAGATCCTTACTCTACTTAAAATCCCGGCAGGTGCAAAAATAGATTTGCGGGCCATAGTATTTATTTGGAGAGTGTAACGGACGTGAGGGACCAACAGCTGTAAAGAAAGAGAAGGTAGAATATTAAATTAAAATGTCAACACCAAAATCAATAAACATAATCATATCTATTAATCAATCAGCAAATAACAGGAAGCACATCCTGAGTGTGTTCCCATTGTCAAAGCAGGCTACAACCAGACAAACCCGCAACAAGTTAAATTTTTTTCTCTGGAAGAAAAACATGTCTGACATTATAACTCCTGATGGTTACAAAGCCAAACGTGTCTCTCTGATTTCAGACAACGTACACGTTTTTCAATGTTATTTTTACAAAAACATCGAACAAGCACCAGCTCTGTGACTGCGACTCTGTAATTATACCTTGTAGAGGGGATGTATCACAGGGAAGCTGCGGAGGGTGGCGACAGTAAAGACTTCTGCCAAATAGTGAGTGTTCATGAAGTGATAGACTGACTGATGCAGCATGAAATCTGCATTTTTAATAAACATCTTGGCTAGCAGCCAGTCCGTCTCCGAGTCACTGGGCAGAAAGATGGGATTCTCCTCAGAAGGTGTTTGATGCAACTGGAATGTGAGAAAAACACAACACTTTTTTATGTTTAAAACACACTGATGCACTTTAAATGCAAATACAAATGTATTACTATTTCACACTAGAAAACTTTCTGTAGAGCCACTGCGTATGAAGCACCATTCTCGCTTTACCGTCTCCTCATGCAGTACCTGATGCAAAAGCATGTAAACTAGCTGCCACTGTGTTAGGTGCTTTTTGGCCATTCAGTGTTAATTTCAAACAAAAATGTGTAGTGAAGTGTTCTTTATCCATTAACCTCTGAACAATCTGAATGCAGTGTGATGTGACCTCAAATCCCAAGCTCTTTCAGCTACAATAACCTACACATAGCCGTGTGTAGGCTGAATGCCCACTACTAATAACACATTATGGGGACTCCACAAGTATAATACTGTATCATCTAAAATGGTCTCTGAACATACCAATGATTCTACAACTTCCCATATGCAATATAAATATTGTCACTAATTTACTCTTGTTAGTATAATACCTGTATTGCAATTGGCAGTAACTTGTTCTCTGGGTTTATGTAGAACAAACAAAGACCAGCAGTCACACGTGGAGATTCACCATCGTACGCCTTAGCAGGCAGTCCATCCATCCTCTTGAAGTCACAGAGAAATATATTGCCTTTCTGTATGGGAGGGAAAGATAGAGAAAAGAATTGTGGCAGGGAGAGGTTGCACAGATTTGGACATTAAACAAAACAAAAACTTTTTTATATGAATAAATCAAGATAATATGATGAGGTCAAATTGTTGTCCAGTGTTTTAGACCTAGACATGTTGAATAACTTTTCACTGCTTTACAAGTAAACTTTCCTTTTGCACTACTGCCATTTGCACAGCTCTATTACATAACCCAAACATACACTACCTCATTCAATTCAAGTTTCAGTTGTACAAATGTTATGTTTGTGTCTTTATCCATATTTAATTTATGCCATGTATGTCCCTATGTGCCCCGCACCCACCCATGTTTGCACCTTCTCTGTTTATGTAGGTTCCTGCACATTGTGTTAATGACAATAAAGTTGAATTGAATTGAATTAGCCAGTCATCTTTTTTCTATACCTCCATTTCTTTCTGCAGAGAGCTTCCCTTTTTCAGGAACGGCTTCACCATCTCCCCTGTGACTGGAAAGTTTGGGGGAAGCTCAGAGCACCTCTTGATCACATTGGGGTTGATTGAGTTCAGAAACTGGAATCCATAAAAGTCGTCTTCCTTCCAGTGTTCTGTAACAAACTCTGGAAGAATAGCAATTGGCAAATATAATCTGTCTCGCATAGTATCCAGGAGCCACTATGTGAAGCATTGAGTGTTAAATACTGAAGTTAATTTGCATATTTAATAGAGCCCCTACTTTTTAAACTACTGAAAAGATATCCATCTTTTAGTTAAGAGTGAGCCAACCATCATGTATTCAATTCAGTTCATTGTTATTTGTATAGCGCCAAATCATCACAGAAGTTATCTCAGGACACTTTTCATATAGAGCCGGTCTTGACCGTACTGACAGAGACCCAATAGTTACCTTTACAACGTAGCATATAAATCTTTATTTCATGTTTCTTCTTTCTACTGAAGGCCTATGCTGCTGAGTTTACGTATAGCATTTATACATGTATGCATAGTCGCCTGTTGTTATATATGATACCATAAGAATGACATTGTTGAGGTGAGTTGAGAAGCAGAATTAGAGCTCTACCTGACACTGGTGTCCTTTTGGACCAGAAGATTTTTTTGATGTCCTCAGTGTTCTCCCATTGTTCAGTAGATCCAACCAGCCCCTTAAACATGAGTTCAGCACCACTGAAAAAAGCATGGGTAAATATAAAGCCAAGCAAAATACAGACAATTAAACGATATACTAACATTAATGCTTCACAATAACTCTCTGCCTTACAAATAACCCATGAAAAATAATGGAATCGCTGACTCACGTTATTCTTTTTGTATAAATCATTTCCATTGATTTGGACATGGAGAAGCAGACTTCAGCTGGGAGGTCAGACATTTGTTTGAAATGACTCATGTGTGGTAGCATTTCATCAATAATCTCCCATCTAAAAAAGGAAAAGCAAAAAGCACATCACAAACATTTGTCCAGAGAAGCTTCTGAGATCAGCTGCAGCTGCAGGGGCATATTGTGCACATGAAAACTTACTTGTACAAACTCTTTTTAAGTATCAGCTCTTTTTCCCGATGCTCAATCAACAGTGGATGTTCGTCCTCAAAAACCTTTATGGCTGAGACATAAAAAGAACATAACATCAGTAACATTTTAAGTGACATAACTAACAAAGAATATTTGTTCAAAAAACAGAAGTAGTATCCTATAATTTTCTAATTATTTGGGTAATTTGGAGCAGACCTCTTCCTCCTCTCAGCTCCACCAGTTCTCCCCTGGAGAGCCATCTGTAACAGGGGAAAAGAATAACATCTCCTTCTGGAGTCGTCACTACTATTTTGGAGCAGTACCACTCATCCTCTGGGAGAAAAAATAAAGCATCTTTCTCCACCTTGATTAGCAGAAGTTTCCCCAGAGACAGTCTGGTTTTCACAGTGTAAATCGCTGTCTGGGGAAAAAAAGGATTCAGATACATTATACCTAATGTCTGTGACAAAGTAGGATCATAAGAATGACATCAGAACAAAGCAAACGCAACACCACTTGTTCAAAGAACTTGTTTTTGCTGATACTGAGCGCTGTAAACACTGGATGTCACAGCCTTTTATCAGTATATGTTAAAACTAAGACTATGCAGACTCCAACAATACCCCTATACTGTTTTTTCTCTCAGTTAAATGCATTAACACTTCCTATTGCCATCATCTCAAATATGTCTCTGCATGGTAACATCAAACAGCATAAGAAGGAAAAACTATGTAAAACAGGCCGACTTTGATTTAATCCTATATCATATAACCATAATTGCAGTGGAGTAAAATAAGTGCAGTAAGATAAGCACTCATGAAGCCACAAAAACAGACGTTATTTGAGACATATATGAGCAACGGTTAACAATTGGATTCAACTTACCGTACCACTTTTAAAATCTACACCAAAGTTGTCCAACTCGGTTCGCTCACTCTTCCCTTCAGTTCCAATTAAGGTAACATGTATGTAGTCCAATGTTCCTGCATTTGTCATGTTACCTGTTGTCACTTCCAGCTTGTACTCAGCCATGATCATTCAGTAGCAATTCTGTGTGGATTGGAATAAATTCAATGTCTAAACTCGGTGACAAATGTCAGTAATATTGTTTAAGCAAAATCCCTGCATCACCTACCTTTTGGCTTTATTTGGTTGCTGCTATTCTCAGTTTTGCTCCTTTTTTATATCTCCTCGTCTTGTGCTCCTCCCACTTTTGATTTAACAATAACAGATCATTTAGTTATGATTTGTAAAGATTCAAACTGTTAGAGAAGGTTCATTCGAGTCATTTCAATAATACATTTGCAAATCTACATGCAAATAATACCTTCCACCAAAGTGCTGTGATCCAGCAGGCAGTTACTGATTCCTGGGAACCTGATAGCACAGACAAATCGTTACGAAATCACTATACACAATTCACTATATATAAATATATGAACAATTTCATTCTTTACAATAAGATCAAGTCTTGTATTTATGACTAAGAGGCCCAGATCCATGAGCAAAGCATTGAGCAGATTATAATTCAGATATGTAAATTATAACCTCTCCAAGTGTCTGTTGGAAGAGGGGTTTGCCAATGTGCTAACATTAGGGGAGGAATACTGAACTGTTTGAGGTTTTTTATGTAGACACCGATAACTGTGGACTACAGATAATCTGCATACTAAAGATTATACATCGAGAAAGCAATATACTGAATAAGAACGTCCTTATTATGCAGCTTCCTAAATATACTACTGGTATATACACATGAAATCTAGTAATTTACATATTTCTTTCTAATGCAGGCATGGAAAAAAAAAAAGGTAGTTAATGAGAATGCCATTAATTTTGTAGGTATTTAGTAAAGAACCAAAGTATTGGACAAATTTTGATCTGACTTGTGCTAAATGACACATCGGGGATTACAGTTTGTCCTTTGTGGACAATGAATGTTTGTACCAAAATTCTCTGCAATTCATTCTGCAAGTAGTTGAAATATGTCAATAATAATTTAAAAAAAAAAAAAAACAGATGTCAACCTCACTGTGGCACTAGAAAAAGCTATTAGAGGAAAAGTATCACCTAAATCATTAAAATGTATCCAGGGACATTGACCTAGAGAAAGGTTGGGGAGTCAACAAAAGTCATTAGAAGTCATTGTCTGGCGACCATGGATGTCTGTACAAAAGCTCATTGGAATCCATCCAATAGTTGTTGAAATATCTGAGTCTGGATCAAAGTGACAGATCACCTAACTAATCCCTAGTGCAAGGTCGCTAGCATGGATCAATACTTAGTTACTGAACACAATCCCTGGTACAGATGGTTATCACTTCAACTAAAAATATTAATGTTAATGCACAGTGTGACTTGGTATATACACAGAACATAACACACCTAAAGGAACAAAGTACATCACTCATAAAAAAGGTATTTTTACTTTTACTTTATTTCAGGATATGATACCAGCGTCAGTTACAGTATATGAATTACTCTCAGATACACAATATTTGCACTACACTGGACAAAAAAGCTACGATAGCTTGTTTACCACTGTTGAAAATACGATCTTGGTCAAATAGCGACACTGTTTTCGATTTCTTTAGGGTTCAAGTAACTATAAGGCAGCTCAAGCTCCGAGTTTCTTTTGGTAATAGCCACACTGAGGGAAGACAGCTCTGCTTGAAAATCCTTGATCATCTGTAAGGCTGCAGGCTCGTCAAAGCGTTGGTCGGGATAAGTACCCAGAGGTACCTGAAAGACAAAACCAAAATGTCATGTTACGGAATGGGCAAGCTACAAAAGCGGAGATTGACAGTCCTTCACATGTGGCAGTTTTGATTGGAAAAACTAGGCCTATAAATCAAACTTACAAAGTCATCATGCTTCCAGCTGAGCTGCCACCAAATCGACATAATAAATCCTGCACTTGATTTATCTGGCATAGTTTCCAAGATGGTCTCTTTCCTCGACTGTCCTTTTGTGGTTGGTGGAGCTTGGAGCAGCAACACTGGACCATTAGGAATCCAACCTAGAAAATCAAACTTTGGAAGACAAACAGCAGCCATTAACACAAGCATTACTGGAGTTGTACAATTACATGAAGAGTTTAACATTTTGAGAAATTATTATATTTAGCCCCCCGACACTGGGCTCAGAACTGTGGAAGTCCAGTCCTCACAGTTCACACACCATCCAACTCTAAGCAAACTTGGCTTATTTATGAATATGCTGTGCTAAGCTAGCCAGCAGCTTTATATTTACTGTACAAACAACTGTATCAATCTTCTATTCAGACTCTCAGCAAGAAAGCAAACAGGCATATTTTGGTGCATTTTTAAAAATGTATCTTCGGTTTAAAGTAAATATATCATTTAAAATGTACAACTCACCGGAACTTTAAAAAAAAAAGGTAGAAACATTGATACATTTATGAAATATTAATTTATTATAAATGTAAACGTTTAATAAAAGGCAAAAGAGATGGAAGGAATCATTTAAATTAAAATTTTTTGCATTAGTGGCCATGTGTTCTCAGAAATCATACAACGGGAGTCAATTCTCAGTATTACAAAATGTTTACCTGTGAACTGGCAACTGCCGCATGCTTAACTGATGACGTAAAGATCACCATCGTGACAAACTTGATGAGTTCTTCCACAGTTTGAAAGCTTGAAGGGATTCCTGTCAGGAATGTTCTTGTTAGTAAAAATATACTTCAAAAAAGAGAATATTCTTAAAGCATCTCATGCCCTTTTTGTGTACAGTTATGCTATTAAGTATGCTTGTGCTTTTTAGCAGTCATATAAAGCATAGCCTACATAATTTGTGGTAAATTGGCTACCAGTGAAAACTTGAATCCTTTAATATCTCTTCAGTCTATCCCCTCCCTTCAGGACAAAAGATTATGTAATTACCAAGAACAAATAAAGAGGATGATATACAGATCAGGTTAGACATAAGATAAAAGGGACTTGTGCAACCGTTTTACATACTAAATATTTATGCAGCCAGTTTTGAGGATGAGAATGTAATGGACTACTAGCTACAAGTGAGATACCTGAGTCACCATTTCCCAGAAATCCATAGTAGAAGATCTCATTGACCCATCCCTGGAGCTCAGAATCTTCAGACACGTCACTGTCAGATGGATAATAATACGCCACCATTGCCTTGACAAAGCTAAGGACAATAATAAAAAAGGACCTCAGAATGCTGAATGCATTTCTAAGTTGAATTGTGATTTACAATATGAAAGCTTTACAAAATGTTGAGACTGGTTGACACAATGTGCCACACCTGTTGATGATGTTCCACAGCCTCAGTGCATCATCTCTGAAATAAAAGTTGGGGATGGACTCTAGTCCTCTTGCTACAATGTCTTCAGGCAGGCAGAGGGAGGTGTAGGTCATCTGGGACAGCCCCCTTCTCAATAGTTCTGTTTGTCCATCTGCTCCAAGTGACGACTATTCAGTATAAATAACACTAATGTAAAATGTCAGTTTCTTTCTTCATAAATTGCACATAGTGGTATATCATGTTACTGGTGATTATCATCATATTTAAATAATTTATCATGCCAAGGACATTTAATTGTTAAAATGCATAATGTCTATCTTTTTCCTGAAAGTAACTACAAGCTTTGAAACATACAAATATGGTTAATCTCAGGTTTTCAACTGAAAGTATGCTAGAGAAAGAGTGTATAAGTCATACATTTCCAAAAGTTCTACCGGGGCCATAAAGAAGAGCACGAGCGAGGATGTTGATATTGAGGGTATATCGATGATGGGGGATAAGCAGCTACGGAGAAGGAAAGAGAGGAGACACTAGTGACCATCATGAATTAAACATCTGCTGAGTTACAGACATTTACACAATTCTCATTTTGCCTGCAGCACTGCACTTTAAATTAGGGAAAACATTTAAATGAAAAGAACCTACCTTGTGCAGGGGATGAATCCCCGGGAGGTTGCGAAGTGTTGCGATTGTAAAAACTTCTGCCAAAAGATGATTGTCCAGTAAATGAACGACCAATGTGGCATAAAGGGAATCTGCATGCCTCACAAATATCTTGGCCAGAAGCCAGTCAGACTCTGAGTCACTTGGCAGAAAAATGGGGTTCTCCTCTGAAGGCTGCTGACCGAGCTGCGGGGAGAAGGCATGTTTAACTTTGGAAGAAGCTGGTCAAAAACAAATGCAAGAGGTCAGAAATGATTCACTAGAATATAAGCGAAACCTGAATTGCGATGGGCAGTAGTTTCTTCTCTGGATTCACATACAGTAGGCAGAGGGGAGCAGTCAGAGGCACCGGTTTACCATCAATAACTCTTGTAGGCAGACCTTCCATGATCTTGTAATCACTAAGGAATATATTGCCCTTCTGTAGAACATAAATTACTATCATGAGGTACGAGGGACAATAATGTTTAAAACAAATAAAAAAAATATGAGTAAATGCACTTTTTTCCATACCGCCATCTCCACAGTCAAAGAGCTTCCATTGGCCAGAAAAGGTTTCACCATTTCCTCTGTTACAGGGAAGTTCGAGGGAAGCTTTGAGCAACGGTGGATCATGTAGGGGTTTAATCCATTTAGAAACTGGTGTCCAAAAAAGTAGTCTTCTTTCCAGTGCTGCGACACATACTCTGGGACATAAATTATATATTTTTTTATTATATTATGTTTTACAGAGAGTAAACCACAAAACACACTATACTAAGCTCCTACCTACCTAAGAGCGGGGAGCTTTTGAACCAGGAGAACCCCTTAAGGGCCTCTAAGGATTCCCAGAGCTCAGTAGAATTTATCAGACCTTTCTGTTTGAGCTCAGCTAATCTGGATAAATAGATATTAAAAAAAAAATGTTTTTAAATGTTTAACTTTCTTTAATCCACTAGTTATTTGTGTTAAATTGTCCAGAATTGCTTTTTAGAATAATAGTAGGTTATAGCCCTTACGCTGCTTTTTTTATGTATGCAAATTGAAAGGCTTTTGAGAATGAGAAGCCAATTTCTGCAGGAACAGCTTTTGGATCGTTGATGTTTAAGATGTATGCCATTCCATCTGCATACTCCTCCCATCTGCGATGGAGAACAGGGAATAAAAGAAATCAAAAGAAGTTTTAAATAAGAAACTCATGTTTATAGAGGTGCAGCTTGTTAAACTTATAGATGGAACACTTACTTGTACATTAATTGTTTTCTGACCAATTCTTTTTTCCGTTGCTCTACTA